TTCAAGTTTATGTGACATTAGGCATAAGTCATCGGCGAAATCCAAGTCTTCTAGGTTCTTTTCCGTCGTCCAGTGTATCCCCCTCTTCTCGCTGCCTACTGTTTGCTGCATGATCCAGTCCACCACAATAAGGAATATCATGGGGGATAGTAGGCAACCTTGTTTCACTCCTGTCTTCACTTCAAAGGCATCACTGAGCTTCCCATTGTGGATTACTTGGCATGTAGCATCTTCATATAGTTGTTGAATGAGGCGGATAAAGGTTTGCGGTACTCCGTAGTATTGAAGCAGTTTCCAAATTACTTCTCGGTCGACGCTGTCAAAGGCCTTCTCAAAGTCGATGAAGTTGAGGTATAGAGCTGATTGCCATTCTACGCTCTGTTCTATGATGATACGAAGCGTTGCAATTTGGTCAGCACATGATTTGTACTTCCTGAAGCCTGCCTGTTCCGGTCGCAGTTTTGAATCCAGTGCGTCTTTAAGCCTCTCCAGGATGATGCGGCTTAATATTTTACTTGGGGTGGATAGGAGAGTGATTCCGCGCCAGTTCTTGCAAGCACTGAGGTCTCCCTTCTTCGGCAGTTTGACAAGGTAACCCTTCTTCCAATCGACAGGTACCTTCTCTTCCCTCCACACCTTCTGCAATAGTGGTGTGAGCATGTCCGCTGTTGTCTCTGCATCTGTTCTCAGTGCTTCTGGCGGTATTCCATCTGGTCCTGCTGCTTTCCCGCATTTCAGTAGCTTTATGGCGTTCAGAACTTCCATTTTCGTTGGGGGATTTATGTTCACTTGTAATTCAGCGGCTGCAGGTGGTATTTCTGGACGAAGTGCAGGTGGTGGTCGATTCAAGAGCTTCTTGAAGTGGTCGGCCCATCGTTTCCTCTGTTTCTCTTCTTTTGTAATTAAATTTCCTTCTTCATCTTTTATTGGTTTCATCTGTGTTGGTCTCTTCCCTGATAGCAACCTGGTTATTTGATACAATGTCGTCAGGTCTCTCTTACCTGCAGCCTGTTCTGCTTCACTTGCCAGTGTGTCGTAGAAGTGTCTTTTGTCTTTGCGTGCACTCTTCTTCACTTCTTTATCCAGTGTTTTATACATTGTGCTCAGTTCCTCTTGTCGTTGAGCATCCTTGCACTGGTTTATCTTCTGTTTCACCATCCTCCTCTCCTCTATCAGCTTCCAGGTATCCGTCGAGATCCATTCCTTGTCTTCCACCTTCTTCTTTCCTAATACTGTTGTGCAGGTTTCTTTCCACATAGCTTTCAAAGACTTCCAGTGTTCTTCTACACAGGTTTCTTCAGGGATGTCCCTCGACGTCTCCCATTTTGTCTTGATGGCTGCTTTGAAGGTCTCCTTTGTAGTTTCATCCTTCAGTTTCCGAGTGTTGTACTTGAATTGAGGTCTATCACCAGCTTCCTTGAAGGCTTTCAACTTGATTTGGAAGGTTCCTTGCACTAGATAGTGGTCTGAACCTACATCTGCTCCTCTTCTTGACCTTGTGTTAAGTAGACTGCGTCTCCATTTTCTTGAGATTGAGATAAAGTCGATTTGATTTTTAGTGTGTCCATCTGGTGAAGTCCATGTCGCTTTGTGAATATCCTTGTGCCTGAACACACTGCCTCCAATCACCAAATCGTTGAATGCGCAGAATTCTGCAAACAATTCTCCATTCTCATTCATTTCACCTAGCGCCTCTCGACCCATGGTTAGTTCTCTTCCCGTGTTGTCCCCTCCCAGTTTGGCATTCATGTCGCCCATTAGAATTTTGATATCGCCAACTGACGTCTTGTCCAGTGTTGACTGAAGTTGTCTGTAGAATTCCTCCTTTTTCTCTTGCTCTGCATTATTTGTAGGTGCATAACATTGTATGATTGTGACCTTTCTTCCTTTTGAGTTGAATCTTGCTGTCATGATCCTGGAGGAGATTGGTTCCCACTGCATGAGAGCCTTCGATGCTCTTGAGGACATCATGATAGCCACTCCCTCAGTGTGCTCGTGGTTGGCGTCTGGGTGACCAGAGTAGATTATTGATTCTCCAGTTGACAGTTTGGAGAGTCCACTCCCATTCCATCTGCTCTCGCAAATCCCAAGCACTTCGATGTTATACCTTCTCATCTCCTTTGCAATCTGGGCTGCCTTACTGGGTTCAAACATCGTGCGGACATTCCATGTCCCCACGTTTACTTTCGCTTTCATCGAGAGAAGACACATCGGCCAATTGGCTTCCCGAAGGCTTTCACCAACTGGCGTCATTTCGCCTCTCCGATTCCAGCGGGGAATAAGTTTGTTTTCATTTTTTATATTTTGTTTGTGCTTTGAAGTTTCTTTAGCGGTTAGATTTGTTTTACGGGGTAGGGTTGCTAGCCCTATGCCCAACCTTCCCTCTTTACCCGGGCTTAGGACCGGCTAGTAACTAGTAAACTAGTTAACCAGGCGAGGTTATTAGTGTTGTTATTAGTGTTATTAGTGTTGAAAATCTGGATATTGTTCATGCTTTATGCCGAGTGCATTGCAGTGGAGTGCCGTAGATCTCCACACTGGTTTCAGGTTGATGAAGACCTGTTTTGCTGTCTTTTCGATCGTGGCTTTGACGTCCTCATCTGTGCCTGCGTCGCCTACAGTTGAAACGATGTTGCCTAGATAGATGAAACAGGCTACTTCTTTTAAGTTTCTCCCGTTGGTGGTGGTTGGGAACATTTATCACCTCTGTCTTCTCTACATTTACTTGAAGTCCCGTCTTCGCTGCCTCACCTCTTCCGTCAACTTGTTAGTTTTCGCCTGCAGATCTTCAAGTTTGTGCGACGTTAAACATAAATCATCGGCACTATCTATATCTTCTAGGCTCTTCTCATCGGTCCAGCCATCGTATGCCCATCTTCTCGCTCCCTATGGTTTGCTCCATGATCCCGTCTACCACAATCAAGAATGTCATAGGTGATAGTAGACAGCCTTGTTTAACTCCTGAATTCACTTCAAAGCATCACTGAGCTTCCCATTGTGAATTACTTGGCATATGGCGTCTTCATATAGTTGTTGAATGAGATTGATAAAGGTTTGTGGTATTCCGTAGTGTTGAAGCAGCAGCCTGCCAAATATTCTTGTCGGTCGACGCTGTCGAAGGCCTTTTCAAAATCGACGAAGTTGAGGTAAAGAGCTGACTGCCACTCTATACTCTGTTCAATGATTAGTCATAGCGTTGCGATTTGATCCCCACATAATTCGTTTTCTCTGAAGCCAGACAGCCTGCTTCAGTCGTAGTTTTGAATCCAGCGTATCCTTTAGTCTCTCCAGGATGATGCGGCTTAACATTTCGCTTGCTTAGAGTGGACAGCAGCATGGTTCCTCGCCAGTTCTTGAAAAGGCTTAGGTCTCCCTTCTTTAGGAGTTTGACAAGGTAGCCCTTCTTCCAGTCAGCCGACAGGTACTTTTCCTTCCAAACCTTCAGTAGTGGTGTGAGCATGTCGGCTGTTGTCTTTGCGTCTGTTTTCAGTGCTTCTGGAGGAATTCCATCTGGTCTTGTTGCTTTTCTGAATTCCAACAGCTTTATGGCGTTCAGGAGTTTGGCTTTTGTCAGGGGGCTTGGTTAACTGGTAACTCTGTGGCTACTGGTTGTCTCTCTGAAAGAGTTGCAGATGGTGGTCGATTCAAGAGTTTTTTTGAAGTGGTCAGCCCATCGTTTCCTTTGTTTCTCTTCTTTGCTAACTAAGTTTCCTTTACTATCTTTCATTGGTTTCATCTGAGTTGATCTCTTCTCTCCCAGATAGTGACTTGGTTATTTGATATAACGTTGTCAGATCTCGCCTACCAGCAGCCTGTTATTCTTCACTTGTCAGTGTGTCTTAGAAGTGTCTTTAGTCTTTGTGCACACTCTTCTTCACTTCTTTGTCCAATGGCACCAAAAACATAATTAGGATTTATCATATAATCACTTATTTATTCTCACTAAGATAGAAGTAGAATACCTAATTAGTAATGTAGGAAACGATAAGATTGAGACACAGGGAGTAATGTTTATTTTTGACATCTTGTACAGTGGTCATCAAATATTGTACACTTTACACTGAGACAGTCATTTGCATAATGTGCTTCATTTCCTCTTCTCCTTCTATCTTGATTTGCTCTTAATACGCCCACACTGTCTCTTGCGTTTCTCTGGGAAGAATCTTTACCTATTGCTGGTAATTTCCTATGATTTCTGCCGCCTTCTCAACATATACTACACATATCCATTTTGATCAGCAGCATCTACTACAATAATTCAGTTATGAGAACTGAAAGTAATGGATCGATTCTTAAACAGTTTTATCTCAGGTTTCGAGGTTTAAACAATGTACAACCATATCTGCAATATCATTTGAAATTGAAAGCAAAATTATCAGATTTCATTCTGAACTTAAACATTGAGTCAAAATCCAGTACTTTATGTTCCCCAACTACTATCAGTTCATGATTTAGTGGGAGTAATTGTGTAAACAAAAAAAAGAACAGTGTAATTAATTTATGTGAACTATAATCAGGATCTGATCAAATAGTTTAGTAAATACTGGGCGTAATGTAAAAGGTTGACGTTAGATATTGTTTTTATTTGTGTAGGTCACAGAGTGTTTCTTCAAGGACCAACTTCCTTGTAGAAACTGGGGGCAGACTTCTGTGCAAAATGTTAGAATTATTTCATATCAAAAAACATGCCGTGATTTACACAAATACAAACTTTTACCTGATAACATCATATTGTTTGAAAATCCTTTCTTTAGTGCTTATTGATAAATTGCTAAACTCTGTTAATCATTCACTTATCATTAGCTATCACAAATGAAACATTCCAAAACTTTACTCTATAACATGAAATTTAATCAGGTTTCAGTTATTATATTTGTTATCTTCTATTCAATTGTTCAATTTTCATTTGTACAATGTTCAATTTACTAAAATACACTTTTTTTTCTTTGTTTTCTCATCATGAAAATATCAATACAAATATATGTATATTATATACGAAGAAGGAGTAGATGATTTAGATATACATTATAAAAGAGAATTTAAATCATCTCTACCACCATCATTATTATTATCGAATCAGATAGAAGATACCGGTGTTTCAGTGTGGCGGACAATTTATGTTGCTAATGAATGGAATGAAATACAAACACATCGTAAAACGAATTATTTAGTCACTCTTTCAACTGTACTAATTTTAATGCAGGTAAATGAGTATATATATTGTCTTTTTATGTAAATATGTAAGCATGTTCACATTCATTGATCATTGAACTATGACTGATGTTATTTGTAGTCAGCCTTAAGTGTTGGTCGTATTCTACAGACCGAACTTGATCAATGGAATTCGGTTTTGTAGGCTTTTAGATGTGACACTTCAAGTTGGTACTCATTGTAGACTGATATCAGTTGGAAGAACAATGGAAATCTGGGAACACTGGACAGTTGTTTCATCCTAGTATGGAACTCCTCAGCAGTACACACACACACGACCCTGCCAGGGATCGAACCCGTGCCCTTCAGGTTCCGTGGCCCGCACGTCATTATTGAGCCACTGACTCAGAGTCCAGTGGTCCATATTTCCAACTTCTGTCAGTTTATGACATAGCGCAACCGCTATTCAATGTCATCGTTGAGTATTTGTCTTTACGGACACCAGGTTTGCCCCACTGGTCATGACGTCTCACTGGAACTTCAGGAATCACCTCTCGAAGCTAGCCACCAATAAGTACTAGTTCTATTGAATTTGGAAGTTTATGGGGATTTCGATATATTTCAAGTTGATATTCATCGTAGACTCTAAATTCAGTTTAGGTATGAGTTGATTAAGTCAATAATAATCGTGGTTCAGTGTTCTCTCAACTTCAATATTTTGTCGCGAACATTTAATCACCAAACTTGGTAAAATCTTTAGCACTAACTTCATAAAAACCATTATATTGGACAATCATTATACGGCCACGGGTAAAATAATATTTTCTGATGAAAATAGATAACAGTACGTTTCGGTTATGAATGTATTGCTTTCTAAACAATGTTCACATCAGCTAAAAAATGTTTAAAAACCTGGAAGCACCAAACAGCTGTTTCACCATAGTATAACAGTGCTCAATAGTGTTTAACAGAATTCAGAACCTATTGTGGCAGATATAATTATGAATAGTTGGTAACAGATGGCTGTTGAAATATTGGGTCCTACTCCAAAAGTATGCTTTCGATATATAGATGATATGATTACAGTGCTGAAATCGGAGCACACATGGTTTTTTTTTACACATTTTAATAAAATCAGTAGTCAACGCAATCCAACTCACCCTATGAGTTAGAAGATAGTGAAGGGGAATAAGCGACATTGGGTTGCAAAATAAAACGAAAACAAGATAAGAGTTTAGACATTAGTCTCCATAGAAAAAACTCAAATTGTTACTTAGACTTTAAATCATCTCATCATGGGTTAATTAAAGTTCCTAGGAAAACAGAAGACAAGAAGGACACTTTACCATCAACAACTATCCTCCTTAGCTGATGAATAACTACCTTATGATATGACTAATAGTGGTTAATAATAGTGGCAGTACTGTGAAGAGATAACTCAAGAGCTCTACACTATTACCCTACAGAGAAGACATTTAGAGATGTAGAATTCTGAATAAAGCTGGCTGGGATTAGAGTGGCATTTAAACCTACTCACTCACTTAGAAATAAACTTTGTAGGTTGAAAGATCCTATTGATGCAACTAAGCAGAATAACTTAGTTTACCGAATCCCTTGCAACGATTGTGGGGTCAAATATACAGGTCAAAGTAGTCGACCAGGGTCAGTTAGGTTATCCGAGCACAAAAACCTAGCTAGGTCAAAACTGGTAGGTCCTAGTAAGGTAAGGAATTTAGAAAAAAAGCTCGGCCACTGTTATGCATGAAATTAAGCATAACGAAATGGGACAAAGTGAAAACCTTTAAAATTAACATAGCTCGATGGAGGGAGAGATTGATAACTAAATCTTTGTGTATCGAATCAACACTTAATACATGCAACAGGAAAGACTCAGCACCTGTTGGGGATATGTGGAAAATCCTATTTCCTATATCTTAAAAAAGGTGAGAAAATTAGGACTATATAAAGGATGCCTCAAAGTTGTGTAGTTATTTGGACATGACTATGGACAGTAAATTATGTCCGTAACATAATTCAGTCAATAATACTGTTCTGTTGTGAGACACATCTAATGAATCAACTTACATCGCATTCAGGACCGTTGGTTCTTTCTGCAAACACGTTATCACTCAGCTACCGGATAACTGTGCAACGGCTCAGGTTATCAAATTCTGCAACGATTTGTGATATGGCAAGTATTTGTTCAGGCACCCAAAGTAGTTCATCTCACAGATCACGACCTCTCAAAAAACTTTCAGGATGTTCATTTCGAAGTAAATAACCAATGAAGAGTCCAGAAATGAGATAAAAATTTTTTCCCAGTCCTTTCAGGTTTTAACAGTGTATTTGATCGTTCATATTTAAGAACTCTGAACATGATTTGATGCTGGAGATAGTATGCAAGATAACAACATTTTAACATCCAAATAAACAATTAAATCAATACGATTTTCTGGCCAATGTTTATACAAACTCATCAGCAGACTAAACAGGCGGCATAGACGAGGATGTCAAAGTCAGGATCGGAAAGACAGCAAGACAGGCTTTCATTAACCTGAAACCAGTGAGATCTTTTGCACTCAGCATAAAGAACAAGATCCGAAATTTCAGCACCAACACCAAGTCAGTGCTTCTATATGGTTCGGGGACTTGGCGTATCACGGTAAGCACTTCCGACAAACTACAGATATTCATCGACAACTGCCTACACTGGCTCGTTACTGAAGCTCAGATGGCCAGAAAGAATAAACAACAAGGAACTCTGGTTGGGCAACGAACCAACCGACGAAGAACCTATCGCTCAACAAATGCGCAGAAGAAAGTGGAAATGGATTGGGTGTACACTGAGAAGACCATTCGGGGACATCACGCGTCAGGCCAGGCTGTCGAGTGTAACCCGTATGGGAAACATCGAGTTAGGCGTCCTAGGCGAGGGTGATATGAAGGAGATGGTGTGAGGAAGAAATGAGAGCTTGTGGGCAGTCGTGATGGCAGGTTGAAAAGATTTCAGAGAAGAGAGTGGACTTGAGACGTGCTACTGAAGCCGTATGTTCCACTAGGAACCCAAGGGAAAAATAATAATAATAAGGCAAGCTGTTAACAGATTTTCTTAATGATAGTTATGCAAAGTAGAAGATATAATAATCCAGGCTGGTAGTACAGTCATCGTATAAACATTGTTGACGTAGGGCGTAGAGCTCCACTAAAGGTAGCCAGTCATTAGATGAGGTTTTACTAAATTTCATGGTCAGAGGTTGCACATGCTGAACAACCACCTGTTTCGACGTGGGATGTTTGTCAAAGTAGGATTGTTTTGGAAGAAGGTTAAGAGGTGACTGAACTAATATGTAGTACCATTCCACGAAGTTTTTGACTGTTAGTGAGAAATGTGTATGAAGATGTAGGTTGCCTGTCTAGACCAGCAGAATTAATAGAAATCAATGGTTTGAGATATAGCTCAAAATTTATCACGAAGATGTAGTTGAATGCACTTTTTCATTACCCATCGTCTTATTATTTTTTTCCTCTCGTACGCTTTGATAACTTTAAGTGGTATACTGTTGTTACCAGGCTCTACTTTGATCTGCTTGCTGTTCATCTGCAAACTGATGCATACTTTTTCGTTAACATATCTAAACTTTACCGAAGTAAACATCGAATTCACAATGATAAATATGTGATAAGTTAACCCAGTGATGCCATGGTTAGGGTTTGTATTATGTATGCCTACTCGTTTATCTACCAAACTGTGGAGAATCTTGTGAGTTACGTGAGTAGAATGAAGTATCTTTTATAGTGGCTAAACCAAGAAGTTACTATGACTTTCCCATATAACTAAATACCTCTCCATAGTTATATGCCAGAGTGTTGACGTGAAGAAACTCTACACAGTACGGTGAGATGGTGTACGTCCTTGAGCTTTTGGTCAAGAAAACTGAAGATGATATGTACACCAGTGATTACTGATCGAGCCTAGTTATCCAACGAGGGTGAGCTCCTGCCGGATTTGAACAAACACACCATCATAGTTAACTTGGCGGTTGACGAGACCCATATGCTCTGATCAATGGTGTGAGTCTCCAAACCATGGGTAGGCCAGCTGACCTTCAAGGTTCTACTCAGTTAATTGGTTCTAGGAGCAGCGGACCACGATAAAGGTAAGGGAGTTCAGCTTCCTAATCCCGATATTCACTGTTATTAACGCAGTTCCAAGAGAGGTGATGTTTTTTACCTTGCGAAGGTGGGCAGTATTCAGTCCGTAATGCCGGATATCGTTCGCTTTAGCCTTGGCCTATTCAACAGGTAGCCTAAGAAGAGCCTCCGTGTCTGAAATATTGATGAGACGAGGATTGTCATCTTACGGGAAGGTGAGCTGCATCGCTTTCTGCTAGATCGTTGATAATCAGTGAAATAAATCCCACTCACGTCTGTGCACGGGGAGGTAAGTATGATCAAGTAACCGATTACCCGACGAAGGTGAATACGTTGAAGCCCCATAGTTAGGAGGGTTTTGGAGCTCACTAGTCACTTTTGAGGTAGCGTTAACGGAGTTCTCCGGCAGGAGTGTTTGTTTCCAAGTACTTGCGTTACTATGAATGTTTCCTGCTCAATTAGAGGAACAATCTCCCAGGTTAAGAGATAATTCATCCAAGTAGACAAGGTTCGGCCTGCAACTGGGAGCTGAGTCGAAAATTGGAGTAAAACTCTCTTATGTGACTTGACCAAGGTGTGATTATAAACCACACAGTTGCTGGATAGTAGTCTGTTGTTATAAGTTGTAAACTAGCTAGTTGAGGTTTGTGCAACAGCTTTTAGAATAGTACAATCAATCTAGTCAATCCTAAAACTGGTAATTCAGAGCTAGTAATCTAATTTGCATACATTTGATCACAGTCTTCTCTTTTCATTGTACAAGGTTCTATGCTGATCAGGTAGTTAGCGTGATGTCGATGATAGGAAAATCCAGTGAAAGTAGCAAACCGTAGACCTAACCTAGTTAGCACATTGATTCTTCATAGATAGAAAATTCAATGTAAAACTTTGTACAGAAGCTACTCCACTCTCCAGAAGCATGTAATGCCCACTGAATCGCAAAGAAACGATACTCAAGTAGCGAAAGGTGTGTCGGTGAACTGAGAATAAAATAACCCATCTTAGCAAAAATTCCAATAACAAAAACTGGATACGACTGTGACACTGTCATCAATTCTTTATCGTATCACTGGGAGTTTTCGCCCACTGTTGTATGATATCTGGACCAGAAAGCTGGTGATTGGATCGAATCTTGTGGTTGTATAGATTTTCATCTGAACTCTCATCAATACACCTGATACATAAAGACCAACTTGTAAAATTACAGCCATCTCAGAGAGTATCACTATCAATTAGTAAAACATTTTAGAGTCACTCATATATTACCCGTTTGATATTATGAGATAGAATGCGTTGTTGAGCTGTTTTTCTGGACAGGTATTTTTCCTGAATGATCGATAAGCTTTACAATTCACCTCATGATATCATTAGACCAAAAATAATGAATAGAATAAATGTAATTAACCAGTCATTTGAAAATTTATGCGACAGGTGGCAAACCACACCTCTTTTGTTAGGACGTCGAATACCTCCTGGATGCTCAAACTTCAGCAGATAGGATACTGTTTGTACACGTAGAGTACTGTTCTGAGTTTTTGAACCTTAGTCGACTGAAATGGCTTGAATATGTGTTGCCCATGCCCATCCGCCGTCTACCTCAACGTGCAATGATAGAGGAAGTTGAAATAGGTTGGAAGAGGGTTCAGGATGGCCAGACCAAGATGTGCCAACAGTTGATAAAGTCGCTGATTGTTGGCCTGAGTCGTGTAGGAAGATATAGTCTACCTGATTTTATCACTCAGTCAGTTTTGAGGTCACTCGCCTAGAACAAACAACCGCAGTTCCATTGACCAATGTTATAACCTTCAATTTTCATATTATAAGTAGTCTAGTCTGAGATATGTAAAAATGATTACTGCACATTTCAAATTAGTCATCACAAACTGATATCATCCAGATTACCACTGAATAACAGGAATCCCTAACTATTTGTTGCATCCTGGTCTAGAACTCCTCGGTAGTGAGAAACTCTGACCTCCTACCGAATGGAACCTAGAATCATCAGGTCCCACAGCGACTACTTTATCATTCAGCGCCAAAGGTTATATCCAACTTTTTCAAATTCTGTATCTTTCACAGATAAATTTATTATTTTTAAATTATTTTTCTTTTTAAGTTGTTATTCATCGTAGACTGACATCAGTTGGAGGAACAAAGGAAACCTGGGAGCACTGGACAGCTGTTTCGCCCTAGTATGTGACTCCTCAGCAGTGCACACCACGACATTGCACCACCAGGGGTCAAAACCGTGACCTTCGGGTTCGTGACCAGCACGTTACCATTGAGCCACTGGCTCAGCGGAATCCAATGGTTCATATTTCCAACTCCTGTTAGCTCACGATATAGCGCAACCACCATCCAGTGTAATCGTTGAGTAACTGTCCTCACGACCATCAGGCTTTACCTTTTTTTTTATAACAAAAGATTATGATATTTAGTCTACTAATGGTTCTATAAATCTTTATATTATGTAATAGGTAATTGGATTGGAAAATCTAGCTTCAGCAGATGCGAAATCAAATGTTGTATTCAACCCATATGAATATCAAAGTCCTCAAAGTCGAATATTTCGTATTGCTCTTATACTTTCAATATTTGCGTTATCTGGTAAATTTTAATATCCCTTCATTTTTCATAAAGTGTTAACATTATTATTATTATTATTATTATTATTATTATTATTATTATTATTATTATTATTATTTAAATCACTTTAATATCAAACCATTTGATCAGTATAAAAGTTTATGTTGCGTTACACTGCTTACTTAAGAATATACAGATATATACATAGCTGACTGCTTTCACACAGTTTTCTTAGTTACATCAAACTATGCTTGTGAATAAGGTAGTGAACATATAATTGTGAAACAGTGACTGCTCTAAGTAAATTCCATAGCGTCTAGAGGCGTTAAGATTCAACTGAGTAAATGTGAACTATGGTTTACAAGTTGCACCTGATTCTAACACTTAAGTCAGTGTCATTTGAGATTCATAACAAAAGATTCCGTCATATTTTCTGTGTATTACTACTTTTATATCCCATATTCATTGCTGCTTATTTACTTGTGCTGATAGGCATCAAACACTTTCCTTACTATAGCAACAAATTGTCGTGATCTGTTCAAAGGATGAGTATGTCATTGTACTGCTGTAGTTGCTACTGAATCTTGACCTCAAATGACTGACTGAGTGATAAAATCAACGTGGAATCTCACACACAAGTGTATCGGCTCAAGTTACTACACTTCACAGTAGTACACAAAGAACAGATGAATAGACGAAGACTGATATCAAGGTAGACTAAGTTGACTGAGAGAATAAACAATCTGAAGATAAAGATTAGTGTGAATATCCAAGCTTTAGAAGACATCAAGGAATGTATGGATCTGCACTGTTGTGACAGATTTTCAGTCATATCACCAAGAGTTTTCAACTAATGGTTTATTTCGTCTATGGGATCACGGGCAGGTAGACTACATCTTCCTACACAACTCAGACCAACAATCAGCGACTTTATCGACTGGTGCCATATCTTGGTCTGGTCATTTTGAGCCCTTTCCAACTTCATCTCACTCCCTCCTAGCATGAAATGTCGAGATAGGCAGTGGCTCGACATATGCAGCACATGTCCAAGTCATCTTAGTTGACTATGGTTCACAACCTCATCAATCTACTTGTTTCTCTTGCTTAGTATCCTTTCCTGACCTCAACATTCCCCACACAGTTATTCTACCAATGCTAGGAAGACACATTTAATCGAAACCCTGAAGTCGCTTCATATAGTCTACTTTTAAAATCCACGTCTTACAGCCGTACAACAGAACAAAACGGAATGCCGCGCAGTCAACTCGTCCTTTGATAGATAGTCAGGTATCTCGCCAGTCGGCGCCACAGATAACGCAAGTTAGAAAACGCCGAACGGTTCTCCGGTATCCTAGCTGAGATTTCGTCAAGAAACAGTACTTTCGTACTGATGCAACTCCCCAAGTGTGAGTGAAGTAGTCGAAACATTCCACCACATCACTCCCTATCTTTAAACTGGGAGTGGTTGCAAACCAGTCCTGGAGCATCATTTTTCATTGGATAAGGGGAGCGGAAAGCATGTCAAATATACTCATATTTCTGCTCAACGCGTACAGAAGACCCCGCATCTTGTCAGTGTCTTCACCCAGCATGACAACATCGTGTGCATACTCAAAGTCAACCAGATGACTTCAAGGGAGTAGGTCTATCCCTCTGAAATCAGACGAACCCAAGGTTGCGTCCATTAGTAGGTCTATGACGAAGTTAAGTGGGAACGGCGACAGCGGGCATCTCTAGCGGACACCACTAGTTGTGGTCGATTCTGAAAAACATTATCCATAAGCGTTATGTACTTGCTTGGTACTCCCTTCGCAGTCAGACACCGCTGCAACACCTTACGGTCGACCAACTCAAATGCAGTCATCAGGTCAAGAAATATGGCAAGTGTCAGTCGCTGGCCGGTAGGTATGCCTTCTTTCCAAAACCTGACGAAAGATAAAAATATGATCGATGCACCCTCAACCAGGTCTGAAACCTGCCTGGTTTTCTCGAGTTTTCTGTTTTCGAGCTCCGGTTAGGCATCGAACAACTATGTACCCTAGGATTTTGAATAAAATATCAGTCAAACTAATTCCCCTACGGTTGTCATACGAAGATTTCTTCCCCTTTTTACAGACTGGGATAATCAGCGAAGTACATCAGTCTGGCGGGACTATCTCTGATTCCCATACACTACCTCCGTTACTCGTTTTAGCGACTTCAAATACCTACATACACAAGAAAACCACAAGTCTAAAAACCATACTTCCAAGTGATACCAGACAAAGTGCATCACTTGACGAATCGTTATTTTACTTCCTTATTACGCGAGTTGAAGTTTTAGTTAACAAACAGTCTGCAGAAAACTTTATTTCGATAGCTATGAACTATTTCCAGTTCTTGGAGGTAATAATAATTGTAGTCATGTGAAACTGGAAGACATAAGAAGGTTACAGATTTTTTATCACATGGTTTTAAACAACGTTGCGTATAGTACTGGATAAGGAACGTATGATCTTGATTAGGTTTCAAATTGTCATCGGGTGAATTACCTGGAACATGTGAATTTTGCTTTATCATAAGCATTGGTGCCCAATGTTAGCTGAAGCAGGATTAAGTCGAGGAAAAGCTAAGGGTGGTTAGATTAGGGCATAACACCAAGTTGTTAAATTATCGACTGTTGATTCGAGTAGTTTAGATAGATATAAACTGTTATTAATTGATACTTATAATCTCCCGTTATTCTGGGTCTAACCGATCGACCTCTATTAGCATATGAGTCCCTGCACAGATGCCTCAATATTGCCTAATTATTGACTACGCTTTGATTTGCTTGGTGGTGGCTAGTAGTGAAACTCAGGACATGCGTTTCTTTCTATTTGGCGTTCGACCCGGTGGTACTGGGTCCTAGTTTCAGTGGGGACAACATTCACTCGGGTATTGGTACAACTGGCTGATGAGTTTAAAATAGGACGAAACGCGCATTCTAGATCCCACTATTATTCACCACTAGGCAAATTACAGATTTAAACTGTTTTTGAATTTCTTCTGAAGCTAAGAACCAATATTTTTAGACTATCGGAGACATGACACGAAATTGTCTAGTGAAAGTACAGACGTTATTGGGTGGTGATTGAAAGTGAATCTGAACCACAGCAGGATCTAGACCAGTGACCTTTGGGTTACCGGCTGGTTACTCTACTATTTGAGCTACGAGGCCAGTTTGCTAACCAAATTTTAACTCTACTTTAATTACCAGATGTGTTCAGTTTTTGTGATCTTTGAGACCTTGGACAATTTCACAGGCTTTTATCTCATTATTTGTCTGCTCTCGTATCTGTTTTCTGTTGATTTTAATATTTTATTCCTGTTCACTTAATCGTGTTTTACTAATGTGAAGGTTGGCTAACTGAACTAATCCCCCTTCATGAAAAGCTTTGCATTGATTTACCTATCTGTCTAGACGCAAAATTTTATGAATTGCAAATATTTTGTAGCCTATTTCTTTCAATCTTCTGAGGTAATATAGTTTGTATCGCTTACAATATACGTCTGAAACTGTGTTTATGGTTATACATAGATCTTTTTTAAATCTTATAGTTGAGAAATACTTACCAGTTGAATAGTGTTGATCACTTGGTATAACACTGTACCGGTAATACAGAGTCCGTTTGATTGAATCTTGTGAAAATAAAAAGGTTGAAATCCGCTCACTAACTTGTGCATATTCGTGTGGTAGGTGGTATGATAATACCACCTGGCTATCCAAACCTCGGTAGGTGGAGTGGTGTTTGAACTCCCGTGGCCCATTGGTTAAAAGTCAACTGTATAAACCAATAAGCCATAACCTTGTATACAGAAGTTTTTTTTCACTTTCAATGATAAAATTCTTACATAAGAACAGTCAGTCAATCCAGACTACCTCAAAGAGTATGAAAACCAACTAGAACTCATGTAATGAACAATGATTTTATTTTTACTGATACTAATCATATCCTCTTTTAACTGTCTGTTTTTACAAAAGGTATACTTCAATGGCTTATTACAATCACACTGTGGGAAAAATGTTTCTCTGATAAATTACGCAGTTTTGCTGATCTATGCAGTGTAGCAAATGTATCAGTATTTATATTTGCTCAAGCTAATTTTGGATATTATATTCATGGACATTCACCAACAGGTCGTTCAGATATCGATTTAGGCGGGATAATACAAATATTATCAGTTGAAAGTGAAGGTATAGCTCCAAGACGTGGTATTACACCGACTCAGATGATCATACTTATCGTATGGCATTACCATCTGGATTACGTCAAGCATTTGATCGATTATATACTCCAATGCTTGATTTAACTTTAAATGTAGATAAATGGATGAAACGTACTTCAACACAAGTGATTACAAATGAAGTCTATCAAAATATTAATCGATTTTTGAAAAGATTCATTTCTAGAGTGAGTATCGTCATTATTATTATTATTATTGCGCAAAACAGCTGAAGAAGTATCTAGTTTATTTCATATTAAAAACATTTAGTCATAGTTTTTCTGACTACTTTGGGAAACTACAAATGGTACCCGTATTATTGTCATCATGCGAATTGACCCCATATCACCTTATCCATATATACTTCAGGGTATTGTCTGAACTCTGAAATGAAAGGTCAGTTTGCAACTTACAGGTTGAATGATTTCTGTTCATATTTACTACAACTGAGTTGTTTCTCAACTGTCCAACTGTGGTTTTAACAGGTTTTCTGGAAATCCTGAGTCTTGAAACAAAATGTAATTGTTTTTTATTCACTTTCACTGCTTTCAACCGTGGCCCTCCTGCCAGCTGTAAGCGTGGGTTAGTCAAAACACTTTACAATACAGCTAGGAAATTATGTTCTACGGACTAGTTGGAGGAAGAACTAAACTTTATTGGGAAGTGTCTCCAAGAGGATGGATATCCTAAGAGATTTGTTACGAAGTATGGAAAAGAAGAGGTCGAGAGAAATAAATACTCAACTGTGGAAAATATTAAGGCTATTATATGCCTCACATTCAAGGAAGATGCAGTACCCAAGAGAACAGTCTCAAGAATCAAAGGAACACTGAGAAGGAGCATTCCTACAGCTAAATTTGTATCAGTATACAATACCACATACTAGTTAAATCAGACAAAATTGGATAATTACCCTCCTTATGTCATCTTCAACTTTATTTATGAATTCACATGCACTTGCGATGGCAAGTACACTGGAAGGACTGAGAGGAGGGGTGTCGCTTCGGTTCAATGAGAGTATCCCTGAGGATCTGTGCTTGAAAGAAAGCAGAATTTTAACCAGTGCAATTACCAGGCACCTCGTAGACACATGACATCACGTTGAAACCTTAAGTGCTTTTGAAACAACGAACGTACAGAAAATGTCTGGATAACTAAGTTTCGTGAAAATAATTGAATAAAACGCTTCCAATCTGATGTTCGCATACAGAAGAACAGTGTGTTTAATCTCACTGCTTGGTGACGAATTTGAACGTGTTTCATTCTGGTTACATAATTCCTTGTTTATTTATTATGATAATTTACTTGATTATGGCTAGCAAAGTAATCCGGGACGTGCGTTTCGCCCTATTTAGGACTCGTCAGGTTGATCGACCTGCACTCCAGTGAGTGTTGTTCCCACTGAGACTCGAACCGCGTACCCATCCCTTAGAACGCCAAAATGTTATCCACTAGGCGACTGAGACATGATGGTCACCTCTTGTACAACGGGTACAAGTATATCAACAAATAGTAATCTTTATTTATTTATTATCACTAGTTTTCTCTTCTTATATTTCTTTTCCCTCTGTACAATCAGTCTAAAATATTATTATTATTATTATCATTATTATTAGTAGTAGTATTACCATTATTATTTGTCCCTTGGGTGCCTAGTGGAACATTGGGCTTCAGTAGCACGTCTCCAGTCCACTCTGTTCTCTACAATCTTTTGAATCTGACTTCACGACTGCCCACAAGCTCAGTGATGCTTTGAAGTGAATTCAGGAGTTAAACAAGGCTGCCTACTATCACCCATGATATTCCTGATTGTAGTGGAATGGACCATGCAGCAAACCGTGAGGAGCGAGAAGATGGGCACACGATGGCTGGACCGATGAAAAGAGCCTAGAAGATTTGGATTTCGCCAACGATGACTTGTGTCTAATGTCGCACAAACTCAAACATCTACAGTTGAAAACTGACAAGTTGACAGAGAGGCAGGACAGCGAAGACGGGACTTCAAGTGAACGTAGAGAAGACAGAGGTGATGAAGATATCCAACCAACAACAGCATGAACAACAAGCTGCAGTCACCATCAATGGGAGAAACATGGAGGAAATAGCCTGTTTCACCTATCTAGCCAGCATCGTTTCAACTACAGGTGGCACAGACACAGACGAGGATGTGAAAAGCAGGATCGGAAAGACAGCAAGACAGGCTTTCATTAATCTGAAATCAGTGTGGATATTCACTGCGCTCAGCATAAAGCGTGAACCATATCCGGATTTTCAACACTAATTCAGTCAAGTCAATCAGTGCTTCTATGTGATGGTTCAGAGACTTGACGCGTCACGAAAAGCACTTCCAACAAATTACAGACATTCATCAACAACTGCCTACACTGGCTCGACACTGAAGATTGGATGGCCAGAATAATAAGAATAAGCAACAAGGAACTCTGGTTGGGCAACGAACCAACAAAGCAAGAACCTATCGCTCAACAAATACGCAGAAGAAAGTGGAGATGGATTGGGTGTACACTGAGAAGACCATTCGGGGACATCACGCGTCAGGCCAGGCTGTCGAATGGAACCCGTATGGGAAACATCGAGTTGGGCGTTCCAGTTGAGGGTGACATGGAGGAGATGGTATGAGGAAGAAATGAGAGCTTGTGGGCAGTCGTGATGACAGGTTGAAAAGATTTCAGAGAAGAGAGTGGACTGAGACGTACTACTGAAGCCGTATGTCCTACTAGGAATCCAAGTGAGAAATAATAATTCTTATTCTGAATAATCTGAGTTTAGTTAAATAAAATAAGATTTGTTATTCTCCAGTACTCATATTTCATTATTTAAATCCACTTTTCTGTTATATTCAAAGGATGATCCAGATGGTTTGCGTTATAGAATTGTACGTCGTAAAGCATTTGAAGATATTCTTGATGGTGAATTCGATGATACTACATTTGAAGGATTATTTTACATTGGTAAGCAATGAATTTTTTTAAATTCATTGTTGTTCATTTCATCAGTTAAATATTCATGTTCGGTGATAAATATTATAGAGTCGGTTAATGGCCTCATAAACTTGCACTTAGTATCTACCTGATATTTTACCTAGACTTTTGATAGTTAAATCCACGTATGGTTTCTAAAACTGTGAACCAATTACTCTTCAAGTTTTCAAAAATATAGATTTCTGATATTGGATGATCATTAAAGATGAGGTGAAAATCTCGGCCATGACAGGATTCGAATAAGCAACCTCCGGGATTTTTTAGCCCGCTGCTCTACCAAGTGAGCTGTGAGACCTAACTGTTGACCAGATTTTTTATTTCACTTTAATCACCGAACGTTGAACCTGACTGCCATTAGAATTCGTGATACGATACTGTCTGTTGGCTGCATTCACAATGGTTGTAAAGTCAGAATTTCTCACCTCAATCCAAATTGAATTGAATTCAAGAGGAAGAGAATCATTTATTATTTTATTTATTATTAGTCCCTTGGGTTCCTAGTGGAACATAGGGCTTCAGTAGCACGTCTCCAGTGACCTCTGTCTCTGAGATCTTTTGAACTTGGTTCCACGACAGCCCAGAAGCTCTCATTTCCTCCTCGCACGACCTCCTCCATGTCACCCTCGGACGTCCAACTCGTCGATTCCCATGGGGATTCCACTCGAGGGCCTGACGCGTGATGTCCCCAGTCGGCCTTCTCAGTGCATGTCCAATCCATCTACACTTCCTCCTGCATATTTGTTGACTGATAGGTTCTTGGTTGGTTCGTTCCCAGAGCTCCTTGTTGCTTATCTTATTATTCTGGCCATCTGATCTTCAGTAACGAGCCAGCGTAAGCAGTTGTTGATGAATGTCTGTAGTTTATTGGAAATGCCTTTCGTGACGCGCCAAGTCTCTGAGCCATACAGAAGCACTGACTTAACGTTGGTGTTGAAAATCCGTATCTTGTTCCGCATGCTGAGTGCAGAAGATCTCCACACTGGTTTCAGGCTAATGAACGCCTGTCTTGCTTTACCGATTCTGACTTTGACATCCTCGTCCGTGCCACCTGTAGTTGAAACAGTGCTTCCTAGATAAGTGAAGGAGGTTACTTCCTTTAAGTTTCTCCCGTTGATGGTGATTGGAGTTTGTTGTTGTTGGTTGGGTATCTTCATCACTTCTGTCTTCTCTATATTCACCTGAAGTCCCGTCTTAGCTGCCTATTCTGTCAACTTGTTAGTTTTTGCCTGCAGATCTTCAAGTTTATGTGACATTAGGCATAAGTCATCGGCGAAATCCAAGTCTTCTAGGTTCTTTTCCGCAGTCCAGCGTATCCCCCTCTTCTCGCTGCCTACTGTTTGCTGCATGATCCAGTCCACCACAATAAGGAATATCATGGGGATAGTAGCAACCTTGTTTCACCTCTGTCTTCATTTCAAAAGCATCACTGAGCTTCCCATTGTGAATTACTTGGCTGGTATGTGGCGTCTTCATATAGTTGTTGAATGAGGCGGATAAAGGTTTGCGGTACTCCGTAGTATTGAAGCAGTTTCCAAATTACTTCTCGGTCGACGCTGTCGAAGCGAGGCCTTCTCAAAGTCGATGAAGTTGAGGTAGAGAGCTGATTGCCATTCTATGCTCTGTTCTATGATGATGCGAAGCGTTGCAATTTGGTCTGCACATGATTTGTACTTCCTGAAGCCTGCCTGTTCCGGTCGCAGTTTTGAGTGCAGTGCATCTTTAAGCCTCTCCAGGATGATGCGGCTTAATATTTTACTTGGGGTGGACAGGAGAGTGATTCCGCGCCAGTTCTTGCAACACTGAGGTCTCCTTTCTTCGGCAGTTTGACAAGGTAACCCTTCTTCCAATCAATAGGCAGGTACCTTCTCTTCCTTCCACACCTTCTGCAATAGTGGTGTGAGCATGTCCGCTGTTGTCTCTGCATCTGTTCTCAGTGCTTCTGGTGGTATCCCTTCTGGTCCTGGTGGAGAATCATAGTGAGTATCAATTTGACAATCTGAAGTATCTATAGTTTGACAGACTTTTATTGTTAGTACTGAGTGATGGGTTTCAGAAGGATTCGGACCGCGATCTGGAATGCTGGACTACTATCTAACTGATATCTACATTCCACATCAAGTATTAAGCGGTTCAGTAGACGCTGAATGTGAGCTAAGAAAGAATTCTTATAAACTAAGGATACTTCTTGAAAAAACAAAAGAAAGCCTACTGAAGCTTATAGAAAGTTTTATACGCTAGAATGATTTTCGAATTCAAAACGACACCTAACCGGCAACAAGATTCCAGCAGATGGACTGAAATTGATCCGATGAGCGATGAGATCCAATCACTAAGTTCATCTATAATCGACTTGATCCCTACATGGAATTATGTACGACACAAATCTAATATGCAGTTAAATCCTACCACTGTGCACAAGTTTTACACCTATATTAGCTATTGTCATAGCAAAATAAACATTATTTATATAAAGAATAGCTTCAAAACTGATTTCTGAAAAAAACCATAGGATGTTGAAAATCATATCATTTTACCCTAAATCTTCTGAGGGATAAAAACCTTGATTGACTCTGAACTCGAATTCAGAAGGTTGGAGTTTCGAAGATGTACATACCTTTTGAAATATCAAGGATAATTCCACTGCACGGGATTTCCCAGACTCAATCAGCTCATGATTACAAATATGCATCAAAAAATGATCGTAATTAGGCCCTTACACTAGTTAGTGTAACAAACCTATTTTGTGAGTGGTGATTATGCTACCTGGCGGCTCAAACGTCAGTGACTACAGTCAGATTTAAATCTATTACTCAATGGTTGAGCGACAAATGATGAAATCAATAAACCACAGCTTTAAAAATCTTCAATAACCAATACTAGACATTTTTATGGAAGTAAGAAGATCAAGATTTACGAAATAAACTGAGCTCAAATTCATTTTGTCACCTCTCAGTCACAAACCGATCTCTCGAATGTCAACCTGAGACCAAGCATTACTGCGTAACGGTTCGAGTTGCCACACCTCATATCAGTACATCAAGTAAAAAGGCAGTGAGGCGCAAGATGAAGATAAGAGAATGCAGTCAAAAGAAATATAAAGTACGAAAAGAGAGAAACGAAGAATGAGGAAGTGGTGAGATTCAGTATAGCGTCGTCAAGATGAGGAATAATGTATGTATACATCTGCGCCACTAACATCGGTTCTCAGCCATATCACCTAGGGTCTCCAACCACTGGTTTCTCTTGTCCCGCGGACCCCAACCACTTAGTCTGCATCGCCCCACATGGTTAAGACCAATAGTCAAAGATTTCATACATTGGTACCATGTTTTGGTCTGGCCACTTTTTTTTCAGCCTGGACTTACTTCGGCCAACATTGTGTGACAAGGCAACCAACGACTAGGCATACGTAACACGTGTCCCAACCATCTCATTCGATGAAGGTTCACAACCGTGTCAACCGACTTACCTCTGCTCCCTAAAACCCTACACCAGTCACAAATACTCTTAATTAAATCTAGAATTTCAATGGTAACATACTTCTGTGTAAAACGAAACTTAAACAGTAAAAAAAACATGAATCAGACGAAATCAAATAAAGAATGTCGACAGTACAAATGGTGATGACAAAGGTTTTTATTTATAATTAGTGGAAATAGAGCTTCTCATGTGTAAGCAAAGGATTATAAAACACAATCATGAAACTGGTAGTGATAATAACGGATTTATAACAAATAAGTAGAGATTAACAATGGATAGTGACTAACAGTGGGATCTAGGATGAGCATTTCATCCTATCTGGGTTCATCAGCTGGATGTACCTTCTTCCCAGTGACCAATGTTGTTCCTACTAGGACTCAAGCCCGAGACTGATCGCTTCAAACGTCAGAGCGTTACCCACTGGGCGACTGAGTCACGACAACCACTTCGTGTACTGTGGGTAAGCTTTTTGTTGTTACTCGTACTATACCGTCGTTGATCAGATGGAATTGATCTGTCCCTGATGAGTCCCAAACAGGAAGAAACGCGCCTCCTAGATTCTGCTGCTAGTCACTATCTATCATTAATATGAAGTTGAAACAACAGGCAACATCAACGTACCCACGCAGGAGCCCATATACCAATAGAGACCGATCAATTCGGTCTAATCAACGACGGGATAATACAAGTAACAACATAAATAATCCTAGTGTGTTTTAAAAAAATCAAAAAAACGACTTTTCGAAACATTTCAGTGTATAGGCGATAGCTTCTTCGGTAGACCATTGCGTTCAGCGAGATATTCTAAACACAGTCGAAAACATACAAAGGAACGATAGACAACAAGCAAGGAATCTGTCATCTTAGAAGTTATTTAGCTGAAAAACTTCTCTACAAAACAATAATCAGCGACCCATTTGCCTGAATTTCTCCTTTTTAGATCGATCCACCATGGCTGATATTCTTGGGACCGAACACTATTAAATTTAGAATCACATTCTATGTATTCAACTGACTTATTTAATTCATGATTGTTTGGAAGTTGAGACTAGATTAATTCAAAAGTTGTTTTCACCACAGACTGATGTCATTTGAAGAACTAGTGAAAGCATAACAGTTTCTTCTTAGTCTAAGATTCACCAATGGTGAATGCTCTGTACCTGATGAGATCTACGCTAAAAAAACTTGAATCGAAGTCCACTCAATAACCTTATGCACATTTTTTCTACCCTTACCTATTTTCTGACAATTAGTGATACTACCTGATTGCCCGAACCTCGGTAGGTAGAGCTGCTGTATTCGAACCTACAACCCGTTAACTGGAAACCAAGTACTTAGACAATGAGCTACAGCTCCGCCAAGTCTAGTGGCGAATATACTAACATTCAATCAGTGTTGGAATTCAGGAGTCCTCTTTCTCAGACTTCTACTAATTCACAATACGACGCGACCATCACCTGTTGTCAGTAATCCTTACTTCCGACTTAGTTACTACCACATATCATAGCTATCATGTGCTCACAGGTTTTCAGTGTTCTTCCAACTGTCTTGAATTGCTTTAAAATCACCTGCTGATTATCACTAATTTTGCTTCATAATTTTGTATTATGCATAAATAGATGACGGAAATTCATTCGGAGATGCACTTTACTATGGGAATGAATGGCTGTTGTTCACATTCGATGCACTTCTATTCTGTTTAGTTGACTTATTAAGTCAAAATTTAATACTGGCCGCATTTTTCGTTATTCTAATTGGAAATGTAAGTTTAAAAAACATCCGTTTAACTTGATTTTTCTGCCATTTTGAATGGAACTAGTTGTTATATACTATGTTGACCAATCAGGTAGCTAGATTGCGGTAGGCTAAACACAGAGGCCAAACTCATCAACGGTTTCTTCTGCACTTATTTACTTCGCAGGACCGAACCCTTCAACCCACTTCAAAATTAGCCAGTTAGTTGGCGAACTGGTAATATCTAGAATCCAAACTATTGTTAGTGAAGTTGCAAGAATGGTACACCGGGGATGTAACTCAACTTAACTGTGGTTTCTTCTGGAAACTGAAATTTTCGGCCCACTAACAGCGACCCACTCAACACCAGCAATAGTGTCAAGAAAGCAAGCACAACTCCATAATACCTACTACTACTACTGATCGACATGAGTAGTTAGATGCCACTGTGAAATATCACCGGTGGAACTTACTAACCATCTACTTGAGTTCTTCTCATCGCAGGCTGAGAATCTTGCAAACAATTGCTTTGAATGCCATCTTAGTACTTTAGAATTTTGAGACTGATACCGTCCTATTCTAATTACTTCACCGCATACATTTCTATATTCGTTTATGAGATGAAACATTTTGATCTTCAGGTGAGTTGAGTTGGGTAGGTGAAGTTACTCACCAATTGACAGAAAATGAAGAAACGGTCCATAGGATTGTGACGTCTTATCCGGATAGTAACTTGTTCACTAGAAGACTTGATACTCCCAATCTGGACCCTGTATAAGGTCTTGCGTTCTTGTTGCTGAAGACTTCTAAGCTGAGATAAAACAGTTTTCTAATTTGTTGTGTTTCTTCAGCTGATTTTAGTTCGTAAAGGAAACTGTTTTTGAAATTAGACTGATAGATAAAGGATGTATCTCATTTATCCTGGAACTATCCAACAGCGTCGACCAAGAAGTAATTTGGCAGCTACTTCAACACTACGATTTTAGTACCACTAACCTTTATCAACCTCATTCAACAACTATATGACGACGCCACATGCCAAGTGATCCACAATGGAAAGCTCAGTGATGTTTTGAAGTGAATTCAGGAGTTAAACAAGGCTGCCTACTTTCACCCATGATATTCCTGATTGTAGTGGAATGGATCATCCAGCAAACCGTGAGGAGCGAGAAGATGGGCACACGATGGCTGGACCGATGAAAAGAGCCTAGAAGATTTGGATTTCGCCAACGATGACTTGTGTCTAATGTCGCACAAACTCAAACATCTACAGTTGAAAACTGACAAGTTGACAGAGGAGGCAGGGCAGCGAAGACGGGACTTCAAGTGAACGTAGAGAAGACAGAGGTGATGAAGATATCCAACCAACAACAGCATCAACAACAAGCTGCAATCACCATAATGGGAGAAACATGGAGGAAATAGCCTGTTTCACCTATCTAGCCAGCATCGTTTCAACTACAGGTGGCACAGACACAAACGAGGATGTGAAAAGCAGGATCGGAAAGACAGCAAGACAGGCTTTCATTAATCTGAAATCAGTGTGGAGATCCACTGCGCTCAGCATAAAGCCTGAACCATATCCGGATTTTCAACACTAATCCAGTCAAGTCAATCAGTGCTTCTATGTGATGGTTCAGAGACTTGGCGCGTCACGAAAAGCACTTCCAACAAATTACAGACATTCATCAACAACTGCCTACACTGGCTCGACACTGAAGATTGGATGGCCAGAATAATAAGAATAAGCAACAAGGAACTCTGGTTGGGCAACGAACCAACAAAGCAAGAACCTATCGCTCAACAAATACGCAGAAGAAAGTGGAGATGGATTGGGTGTACACTGAGAAGACCATTCGGGGACATCACGCGTCAGGCCAGGCTGTCGAATGGAACCCGTATGGGAAACATCGAGTTGGGCGTTCCAGTTGAGGGTGACATGGAGGAGATGGTATGAGGAAGAAATGAGAGCTTGTGGGCAGTCGTGATGGCAGGTTGAAAAGATTTCAGAGAAGAGAGTGGACTGGAGACGTGCTACTGAAGCCGTATGTCCTACTAGGAACCCAAGTGAGAAATAATAATCCAACGATGTATTCTCACTACTGAAGTATTGCTCTTCATACCGAATAAAAATTTATGCGTGTTTGGAATACCTCGACTTCTACTATATGCTCTTGAGAAGTGTAGTAACTTACCGTCAGACATGTATTCACGATGTACCTTTGGATTTTTGTTTAAAAAGCGTCTACAAAACACATAATTCAACAGATTTCCAATAAGAAATTTAATTTCTCTATCTTTGTCTATTCTGTCATTCCAGATACTTACATTATTACGGAATGATCTTGGACGTCGAAATACCGCTCGGAAAACACTCATTGATGAGCGTTTTTTGGTCTAAAATATTCGTGCTTTCATTTTACTATTGATATATGATGTAGTGGATTTATTGTTATGAAATAAATTCATAGTTTTTCGCTTACGAAAAAATGCTTGTATTTTACAATCGATCATAACCATGGTGCTACAGAGCAATTGGATTGAAATCAAAGTGTATTCACCTTACACCATCTTAGTTACAATCTAGAAAATCCAATGACCACAGACTAATTCTTACATCTTTAAAAATGTGGTGTTAGCATAAAGTTCATTCCAACACTACTACTGAATAGTCATCCAGTAAACAATGTTGATGTATTTGTCACAGAATACACCGCTTTTTTCCTTGCTCCAGCCATTTACAATCAAAATTAGGGCAGGATGGAAATCTGATGATGGTGACGAACAGCAAGTCGGGAAGAACAATATTTAGTGGCACTTTTATAGTACTAACGAAAATAGTTATCCAAATGATTTAAATAGTGCTTGTCTAAGTCTTTGAACAGCACAAACCTGTTGGTTGGTTGGACGCAATCGGCAGGGGGCCCTGGAAACAGGTCCCGCGCTTCCTGGCTCTCGTCAGCAAGGTGTATCTCCAACCTCGACGGAACTGACGTCCCGCCTGTGACTCGAACCCGCGCCACCCGGGTTCGTATTCAGCGACCCTACCACTGAGCTATTGGGGCAGCGACTGACCTCCTGTAGGACTGGCTTACATGTATTGATTGGTCATGGGAGTGCAACCAATTTCATGTTGTCTCAGGCGGGACATTAGTTCCGTCGAGGTTGCAGATACATCTTGCTGACAAGTGCCAAAAAGCACAAAACCTAGGCCCAGGGCTTCCTGCTGATTGCCTCCAACCAACAAACATCAACTAATGTGCACCGCGATGCTGAGCTTCCTAGCTTGGTTGCCATATTGCAAATATGATCGATAGAATTTGGTCTGCACTCCCGTGACCAATCATTACAGTACAAACCTACACGCTAAGATAAAATTCACGTCCCCTTTAATTATATTACCCAACCTAAGTCTCCAAATCATCAATAACTGAATTGTTTTTTGAACCGGTAGCACAGATATTATGATGAATTAGCCTAGTAAAAAGTTTAAGGTCACTTGTAAAATAAAAATACTATTCCGTTGAAGAGTAATAACCCAATCTTAACCGACATCCATACATCGTAACAAAGATTCAACGACTCAGTAACCCCGTAGGGTTTATGTTCTAATTTATTCCAGAGATCATCGTTTTACACTAATGACTTAAGCAGAAGTAGATAAGGTGGCATTCGAAATCATAACACAATGTTCGGTAGTTGAAAGCTGACACTCGAAACACCTACTCGATGTATTATTGAGAAGAGTAGAACAGACACATGAGTCAAGATAGTAAACAGTGGAAAAGTTTTCTTTGGTTGTTACCTTCAAGTGTATCTATTATTTGACGAATATGCATCAAAGTAAGTAGATTAGAATCTGCAACTCCTTAGCAATGTGGACCTATATGGAAGAGTTGAATGTGTAATGACTGAATAGATTTTCTAGTTCAAGTAAGGATAATAAATTACCCGACACAACAATATTCTCGAGAACAGATCTACTAGCTGGTCTGCATTCTTTTTAAAAACTGAATTGATAACGGCTTATGAGGAAAACTTGATATATTGTTGGTACAGCCTACGAACTTAGCTCCATAAGGAAAAAGTGTATCGATGTTGTCAGCAGAATAACTTTTTCTTTGACCTTTGATAGATTACAATGTGAGCTGAAATGTAAAATTCAAGTAAAGCACGTCTTTCAGTTCACCTTCAAAACAAAAACGTGAAAAATTGCAATAACTTTATCAGCCTTGAATTCGATATTCATGTACAGATATTTCTTCAATACTGGTGAACTGCGTGGAACATATTACTCCTTATTCATGCACTTCCCAACAAATAGTGTTAGACAACTATCATGAATTAGAGTTTTCCGGAAAAACATTAATTTCCTATTTAATTTATCTGCCATAGATAGGTGATAGATAGACAGACAAAATCAAGGTAGAATGACACATAAAAGTGCATCAGTTCAAGCTGCTACAACACTTCACAGTAGTACATAAAGAACAGGTGGATAGAAAAAGATTGATATCAAAGTAGAGGAAGTTGTGTGTGAGAATAAACAATTGGGAGCTAAAGGTTATTAAGAATATCCAAGTTTTAGACGACATTAATAAGTGAATAGGTCTGCTCCACTGCGACCGATTTTCGGACATGTCACCAACGGTTCTTTCGTCTCCGGGCAGTCTACATCTTCCCAAACGGCTTCATCGACTGGTATTACGTCTTAGTCTGACTACCCTGAACCCTCTTCTAATCTAATCCAACTATCCTTAGTATGGCACTTCGAGGTAGACGGATGCTACATAGGCCATCCTTGTTTACTACTCTTCGCCTGACTTCAACATCGGCCACATGGTGATCCCACCAAAAACGAGCAATGCAACAAAGACGCCTATGATCAAAACCATGTAACCGCTTCATATCTCCTACTTTTACCAGCCATGTCCCATAGTCGAATAACATGACAAATGGACTGTAACGCAGTATTCTCATCCTTTGATGAGTGGTTGGATATCTCGCCGGCACCACAGGTGGCAAACAGCAAACGGGCCTTCTGTATCTGCGCTGAGATTTCGTCAGCAATCACTCAGTCCAAGTTGATGCAAATTCTCCAATGAGTGAAGCGGTCGACCCATTCGTTGAGATGAAAGAATTCATGAAATCCCTTTTCCTGATCATAGAAATCAAGCTGTAAACACTGGAAAGCTGTTTATTCCAGGGCGTTTGTGATAAATCAATGTCATTTCTTCTTCAGAGTTGGAATAAAAAATATTAAATTCTAACCTGACTTTTAGAAGATGGGAGGATTTAACTGGAAATCTCCAGAATTCTATCTAACTCGATTTTTGAATCACAAATAACAAAAACCCACTCATAAACTTTGTATATACTTCAAAACTGGTCAGCTAGCAAATGACTCAAGATTTACTGCAGTCCAAATAAGTTGTGAGACAACCAGTAAGTTTCATTAGGTATCATTGCTACTTTATCTTTTTAATTAGTGAATTTGAACTGCATGCTCAGCGAACATCATGACTAACTGATGAATATATTTAGTCCGTATATCAACATTTAAACTGAATAGAACCAAATGTTCCAGTAAGACGAACACTAATAAACAAAGTTACAACAACTAACTAAGCCATAACTGGAATAAAGTACTCATACTAGTCATTTAGAACCATTAATACCAGGCCAGTCAACAATTTCGTGGGGGAACACGAGGTCACTTTGAGAACATGAGGCAAACCGAAAAAACACCGGGTCAATGTTGTACAACCCTGAGTTTTCAATGAAGCTATTCCCTCGTTTTGCCTCGCGAAAATGTTGAATGGATGATCAACTCAGATATGCCCATAGACGAAAATACCTATAAATTCTTAATACAAATGTCAAACATATCCCCGATGAACGATCTAGAGTTATACAGAACACACTCTTCAGCACAACAACAATACTGTTTATTGACAATATAGTTAAAACATTCTACACTTTTTCATTCAGTACAATGGGCACCGTCAAAACACGATGAAGAAACACAGATTTATAGTCAGTGGACAATCGATAAACAGAAATCTCACAGAAGGAATGTTAATAACATAACAGCATCATATGTACGAATATTGAATATATCATGTAGAAAAAGTGGATATCATAGCATGATTTATATCATTATTATGCATTAGGTATGTGTATCAAGTGAAAGATAACATAGTTTTAACTGAATATCAGGATTCAAACTGACATTTTAGCAAGGCATGCTACAATAGAATTTTATAGTAACTTTTCTCAAAGATGAATTGGTTTCGAAAACAATAAAAATCATGATTACCCCCCCCCCCCCACACACACACACACACACACACTACCACGAGTGAACATAACTTAATCAAGAAGTAACAAATAAGGAAAGAATACTAACAGCAACGATAAAATAAAATTTTGAATATCCGGTATTATGATATCATGTGAATGTGATAAAGTCTGAATTAAGAAAAAAACACAGCGCCTATATGTACTTTCATTAGCCTTTATCAGATATTTTCTTGCCAGAGATCTGAAGTAAAAAGAAGAAGAACATAAATTTCAAAGGTAAATGCATCGATTTTATCCAGTGAAAAACTTCAAGACATCAATTTGAGGTAGAAATACAAAAGTAGACGCCCATCAATGACACTGGGTGATGATCATGCTATATCACGAAGCATAAAAAAGTAAATCATCGCGTGGTAACATGCTAGCCAAGAGACTTAACAACTCTGAAGTCAATCGCTCGCATGAATATAGTTAAACACTGATGAGGGGTCTCGAACTAGGACAAAACAACTGTCCAATACTCCTTGGTTTGAGATAGTTTTCTAAATGATGTCAATGAGAGATGAAAACTATGAAACCGATTGACTACTAAAAATCCCTTCAGTGAGACAGACAGAACAAGGAAAAATCTCGAATGATTCAAGTTGTCATATATCTCTGAAGTAATAATGGAATAACTGAGTCCACTGAAGAATATCGGTGAACATGCATGAAATAGGCAGCATACCCATGGTGGGATATTAAGAATCTATAGAAATACACATAGGTGTATGTACAATATTGTGACTGACTTTCAGTAGTGTCAGCTACTTTGCATCCGTTAATTTCTTATACCTTGAAGTAACACAATGAGGAATTTCACAGTTCCTTTTGCTACTCAAAGTGATGATTAACTACTTTATGGGTTGATTCTACACGTTAATCTGGATGACCTGAGGGGTACTCAGCCAATTCTTACTCCAAATAACACTACACGGTGGACGGTTTACATATGCAATATATGTCTCAAGCACTTCAGTTAGTAGCGCTGGAAACCATATCGAACAACCTACCTGAATTATTCATGTATAATTAAGCAGATACAAGTAAACAATAGCCGTAAAATATTCTGCATTACCCTGGTTGAAAACCATCATATTTCTTACCTGAAGAATAGCAACAATTATTCCAAACAATCCGATAGCACTACCGAAGATTTCCACCACGAGTATTTTAACAAACAGTGCAGAATTTGCAGCATCTGCCAAGGCTGCACCTGAGCCTACCATACCGACACAGACTCCACATATAAGATTACAGAAGCCAACAGTTAAACCAGCTGCAAACATTGAGTAACCAGCTCGATGAGCTTGACGAATTATGCTTTCGCTTGCACCGACAGGATTGTATGACTATATGTTTATGACAGGATAAGAAAGTTGACAAACAAATGCATACTAAAATTACGTTTGAAATATTTTGAAAGCAAAGGATGAGATATCTTCGATACAACAGCCAGTTACAGACACTTGTTAACAAGGTTTTTAAGCTTTTGTTTAATATTCAAGCTGTCTGGAGTTGCAAGTGTTAACTAATTATATGAGTTAACAGATTTCAGTTTATTATTAAAATTAGTTCCCTTGGCATAAACTGAAAAGTTTTACTTCGAAAAAGACTCGTCATTTGGAAGCAAATGTACTGAGATCATCTGGCTGCCTTGGAGTATGCACATGATATTCTCCTGTTAGGTGAAGACGCTGACAAAATTCAGAGTCTTCTGTACGCGTTAAGCAGAAATATGAGCATGTTTAGCACGTGTAAATGCATCTGCAACAATGAAATCGATTCTCAGCCAAATCACCTACATTTTGCAACCACAGATTTCTGTTATGACGGTGGTAAAATACAGGAAGACTTCTTATGAACTCTTCATCTTCTAGTGTTTCGTTGGTGGCTTTTTGGTCTGTTTGATTTACAACCAGTGGATCATGCGTTCAAGCTCTGCTTGACCTGTCAAGGTCTGGACAGTCAGGTAGTATCGTTAGCCGTCACACGATAGATGTGCGCATGGCTGCTGAGTCGCACTTTTTTCACTTTATTTCACCTGCATCCTTAATAGCCATGTATCTGGAGAAAACGAAGTGGTACACAGTAAACTGGGTGCTTAATAAACAATCGGGTCAAAAACAGTACACAATGCAAAGCTAGCTGAGACAGGTTCCGGTTGGAGAAATGTCAGAGGTCGCTAGACTAGAACATATCAGTCCATGAAGTCTCTGACTGTTGTTCTGAACCGTGAAAAAAAACGGATCTCCTGATTGGTGTTCACGTCATAACAGAAATCTATGGTTGCAAACTGTAGATGATTCGGCTGAGAATCGATTTCATTGGTGCAGATGCATTTACACAGTATCTTGATCGTTATATCACACTTCGTTATTTGTTTCACTCCTTCTTCCTATAAATTTCTACTAATTTTGATTACTTTATTTCTTATTTCTCTTTCATCTTGGCGCCTTTTAGTTTGATTTACTGGTATAAAGTGTGACAACTTGGTTCGTTAAAAAGTAATGCAAGTAGCCAATTTATCACTAGTACATATTTCTTGAGCTCTTAGAAGCAGACAATTAGTTACAGAAAGTTTGCGATGAAGACATTGTCCATTTTGTTCGTATTTCTTGTAACATCGAAATGCTGGTTCTTCTATTCCGAAAGGATAGTTTTAAAAACTTGTAAAATATGTACTAGTGATAAACTGGATAATGAAATGAAATCCGGGTTTACTGATTTATGGATAAATGGGGAATTTCATCGTCACAGCTTTAACTAATAAGCAGAATGGTAACCACCATCACAAAGAAAGCGGTCTTCACTGCAATGCCACTTATACGTCACTAGATTATGCAACTGATAGCTTATGGGCTTTGGTTGGCTGCTAAACGCACCTTCTACACCACTTCCCTCTCTTTAACCGTAAAGAGATTTCCTCTTCTACTCCCACCAATCAAAGGCCGTTAATTCTACCTCGAATTGCATCTACAAGTTCACCGGTAGTTGTAGCCAAACCTATATATCTAGATTTAATGCCATCGGAAAGGGTATTATCCTCAGTGATGAATAAATCAAGTGACTAAAATTAATGTGTTTAACAAGAGTAAGAACCCGCCATACCCTATTGTCAAGCATCTACATTGATGTCTTGTCACAAAACCAATGTTCATCACTATTTTTTAATTGTTTCACATAACTAAGACCAGATGTTATGAAAGAAGACAAAAGCGCTGGATTAGTCGTATACACCCAAAACATTAATTTCGAAAAATAATTGACGTGACCCTTTATTTACCCTGAAGTATATGACTTATTATAATGATCGGTCAGTAATATACTCTATTATTTTATATAAGTACAAAATATTGACAAGTAACTTCATTATCGTAAACCATCGTATTTGCCATGCAATTTTAGAGTAACCAAAAAATTATACCATATCTCATTGTGTTCTACATGACTTGTTTGTCAAAAGACTTCAATTAACAAATTCTTCGACATCAGGACCTGTGACAGGCCACTTTGTTTCCTTAAGTTATTTGTTGTTTGTGGAAACACTATGTTTTACTACATTCAAAGAGAAGTGGTGATCATTTTCTACCTAATTTAACAGTTTTACAATGTTTACTCCAACGAATAATAAACCTTGTGACAAGCATGTTTGGTGGGAGAGAATAAAGTCAAAAATGTAAACTATCCTTCGTAAGGATTGTGCACCACACATTTCCGTTCACTGAGACTGACAGAATTCTAATGAGTCTAGTTGCCGTATAATGTCAAATTACCATACATTATTACAATACTATTCAATATCCACTATGGTGTTCGTGAGGCTCTATGTAAGAAAAAGCACGAAAAGTGACTGAAGTGGCAGTCTTGATGTACTTTGGTTCAGATGTGAGAATTTGGCATTCATCCACTTGTCTGTTTCTAATAACTATACTCGTTTCAGTGCCAAAATTCAAAGTTTAACTTCATTCAAACATGCAGAAAGTAACCAAAAAGAATAGCAAGACATCAACAAATGTTTGACTTACTCCAATCTGACTCAGCATAACAATAGCTGTAATGATTCCATAGATAGCTACAGCTTCACAGAAAATAATGCTAACCAAGTTTTTTGTGCGTATACGTGGCGCCTTTACAGCTGCTCCCAAGATACTCGAGCCTGTTATATAAATGCCCCTGAAAAAAATCCAATGTAAACTAGTTACACAAAGCCTCATTATACTAATTACTCAGCCGTAAAATTATGACTCTCTTGATGAAAATAACATGCAATTTGGGACTTTTTACAACGGACTTAAATCAATCATAAAAGAAAAATCGTAACGCCAATACTGACGTACTAGCATTTTGCCACATTCATTTTCTTTTAATAAACACTTTTACCATTATAAGGCTGTGAATGGTTTTATATACTTCAAACGAATCACAAAGAAAGGGAGATTGGAACTTAGTTGGTGTCAATGAATCCAGTTTTCTTTAACAGTATTGTTCATTCACATGATTTTTACATCAATGATAACATTCCCTGCACCGATTTCACATCTTAAGGAAATATTCGAGTAAATCCACTTTTATCTTTAAGAGCAGACGACACTACATTCATAACTTTGATCATTATTAAGATGTCTTAGACCTACCTATTCAGGTCTAATTTCGTTTAAGACACAGGAATGTAATGGCAGTAATTTACTTCAACTGCTGGATATTTCAGAGCCTTAAAAGAACTGCGACAACCTCATTGCCAATCTTAGACAAGATGAAAACTTGGGTATTGTGGCCAAGGAAAGAAAAAAATTAGGAATGTGAAAGGCGAAGTCTGCTCTTAAAGACGGAAGCAAATTTACCAGCAACTTTGCTTTAGATATAAAATTAGCAAGCGAATAGTGATAACCAACAAACTAGTCCATAAGACGTCCTTGTAATGCCTTCAGTAATAAAGACAGTAAGCCACTTTAAGCCGTAAATCCTCATAGCAGACATTTCTATGAAGATCTAGTTTCCCCCTGTATACATTAACCGAGGGAGCATGTTACACATTGCTTACGTATAAGGCTATTACTATACAAAATAGAACAAAACCATGCGCTTTGAAAATAATATATACGCCCCCAAATCAAGCTATCTTCAGCAAAGGACTGAATGGGTTGCCCAGTTAATCAATTAATTAACTTCGCAAGCTCCTTACCAAGCTGCTCCAACAACGGACAATGATATGGCAAGACCGACACCCATCGCAGCCCACAAGTATGGGGATGTTTCTGCCAAAACCCTACAAAATAATATACAATTGTATTAATACGGATCCACATACCATCCTATGTCGAATCTATGACCCTCACCGCTGAGAATATAATACAGACCTAGTTAAGTTTACAACTACTCTAAAACTAAGTTACCTATCAGTATAAAAACAGAAATTGCTGTGTATGTCGGTATATAATACACATTCAGCTTTGTACAGGCCATCCTGAAAAAGCTCAAACGTTCCGCGTAACAACCCAATGACCATACAGATGTTCAAGGAGGCGACAACGGGATGCAGGAAGCTTTCGCTTAACTGACTTTTGTGTTTACAGATAACGCAAAGCAATTTTCTTGGGTTGTCAGCTTATTCGGAAATAACTAGATGGAAAAGAAGGCGGTTAAAACAGAAAAATTAAGTTAGCAGGTGTCGAGTAGACGTTTGAAAAATTCAAGAGAAGCAACCTGGATTACTTCTGCTGGAAGAACTCCAAATATTTAACAACTAGGTAGTAGGATTTCACGATTGGTATCTAGCCTGCTATGTTTCATGCCTAGTTCTTGCGTTCCGTCTAAGGCTTGTGCTACAACTAAGGTTGTCAGTGATGAAGTGAGTATTCTGAGTTTGTTGAGACACTGTAGGCTAGTATCCATTCCCGCTTTAGTCTTCTCTGTTCTGTAGAATACAGAACAAGCGCTATAAGTCGTTCTTCATATGCTTTAGACCCAAGTCCACAAGCAGATTTGGTCAACCACCTCTAGACACGTCCTAGGCTTAAGTTATCCTTCTGCAGAGAGGAGGAAGACCATTGTCCCGAAAACTCAGATGGAGTCGTAAACAGATGCTGAACATTTGGCTAAAACACCTATGAACAAACTGCACTACAATTCGCCTGAAAGTTATCAGCGCCAAATTTCCACGAAATGCGTTTCTATCGCATCTAGCATGGGATTTCGAGTCCTGAGTGAATAATACGTACAGGTCCCCCTCCATCTATGATGCTTCTAATTCTAACTATACATACGATATGTACCACGTCTCAGATGCATAGGTTTGCACTTTCCAAAAGTTAAATGCAAGCCCATCACTGATCACCCAGTTTTGAAGCTGGGTTAAGTTTTCCAGTAGGGAGACACTATCCCCCTGACTTCTGCTCTCGCTCCGTAGTTTCTTGCCGTTGCTGAAAAGAAGAATTTCCAAAGGAACCTTTTGAGGGAAGCAGTTTATGTATGCTAGAGAAGGAGGAGACCTTAGTACAGGAACCTGGGATACTTCAATTTTAAATTCTCCTTCGTCGGATTTGAGAAACCTACTCAAAATCTATGTGAGTGGCCAGGTGTACATGGGGACAGCCAGCCAATGAGTGATGGTTTGACTTCCATGAACTTCAATTTTTCAGCGAGGCAGCCACGATCAACACCACCAAAATTTCTAGAAAAGTCTAAATAAATAATACCAACCCAGCCTCAACGTCCGACATCTGTCTATAGTGGTGGGCAAGTTAGTGATGCTAGAGTACTTTCTTATTAGTCCATTTTTCAAAAAGTAAAGAGGTGACTCCTAAAACCACGATTAACATCTTCATTACTTTGGAGATTCTGGATAAAACGTCACTTGTCTCCATTTCTTTGCGCTGATTCGCTGACTTCGTTTGAAGATTCGCTCTGTTTGACCCAACTCCCAAAGATTGGGCACCCCCCTTGACTGAGAGGACCTTGTAACAGTTTACTTAAGGGTTTAGCCAAGATTGACGCTCCCCTATGAAAAACCGCTGCATGGATTTCATTCAGTCCCCAAAAGGTCTCTTCTGTGAGCAGCAGCAGTTTGCGCAGTGCTAGCTTAGTGGTCAAGTCAGTGACCAAAAGTACTAATTTATCAGTGGGACGTTCGTAAAGTCCCCGGTAAGTGGTTGGCGAGGGAACGATTCGCAAATGCTGACTGGTTAAGAGTTCCGCTGCCTCATTTCACTTCTAGTCGGAACATAGGGCCATAATAAATGGCAAAATGCCTCTGTGACCTGTATGAACAGTGCAACGGAGCGGAACAGAATTTCTGGGTCAGAAATGAACATGTTTATGAGTTTAACTCGATGTCGTTGTCCATGGGCCCCTAATGCTCTCCTGAATGTTTCCTTTCTGGATAAACAGTCTCTATACGTGTTCGTTACAAGGCCTCTTGAATCCGGGCGAGTGGTATCCTTTTGACCCAATTGGTAAATGTATAGAGTTGCTTATTTCGTCAAATGTGAATCTCCAACTGGTGTTTCTGTCCTGAGACACATGTACAGCTTACCAATCCAACAATTCCAGTGTCGTCCAGTACCCTAGAGTGGTCAGTCGTCTAAAGTTTCAGGCAAAGGTCGAGTCAGTCTGGCTTTGTAAATATATTAGGAACCGCTAAAAACGTGGGCACTCCAGCTAAAAAAATGAGCAATTGTTGGGTGAATCTTCAGGTATTCTTCATCTCTGAAGACTCAGTCTTAACGAAATGGGTCTTGCTCTTCCCTCCATCGCCACACTGGTATCCCGTTCTCTGTGTGCTCCAGTTCCTCAGTCAGAACCGAGCTCGAATCGGACGTCACTGCTGCTAAATGCTTGATCTGAGGAGTTGGAATTATAATATGTGTGCGACAGTTTAAAAGGAGAGCCCTTTGCCCATATTATTTGGCCGACACACTCCACATCAGCGGATAGCTTCCTATGAACGACCCCAAACAAGCACTTCGTAGCCTTATATAACTTTATAGAGTACCAGCGGGATCCTCCAGGACAGTCCGGTTCTTGAACGTGGATCCAGAGATCTGCAAGGGATGAGCCAACGCAGCAGGCTACTCCACCTCCTTACCAGCTATCTTGTCGTCATAGAGTGGCGTGATGCTAGAAGCAACCGGCTTCTAATGTGACATTTCAGTAGAAACCCACATCTCAGTAACACCAATAGGGCGACTACACGCATTCTTGCTCAGTTACTGTAGTTCATGCAGTAAGTTCGGCAGAATTTACGCACCTGCATAGATGCAGTTTATGCTCTCTACTTTGAACACACTTCCAGAAAATTCTCCAGAGTCTAATTTCCTGGCCAGATCCTTAGGTGGAGAGGCCGTGAACCTGCCTAAGTGTAGCTTACCAGCAAATGGCTCCCTGCCTCTCTCTTCTTTTCAGTCAATGGCTTCTGTCGAAGGTGAAACCGGCCCCCACATGTTCTGTGTTCTTTGCAACCTCTCTTTCTGCTCCCTGTCAGGGCGCACGAGGACTCCAGGTGGCAGGTGATGGATATTTGAGCAGAATGCCCCAAAGTGGATGCTGTCGTCCGGAAGGGCGGGAAGACCACTTTTATCAACCCTGGTCTAGCAAGGGTGCTGGATACAAACAAGGCACTTAGCTCACACCTGGACGACTGTAAATGCAGACTGTAACCGAATGGACCCAGAGCTTAAATGGTTTTAATTTTGAAGCCACGCTTTTTATCCCCAAGTATAATAACTGCAGTTTTCCAGGATCAACAAAGTATTATCGTCGGGGGGACCCAGAGCTAACACCTAGCCAAAAGCTGCAAAATTGCAAACCGTCTCTGTGCGTGCTTCACAATAATGAATTACCTGGGTTGTCTTGGAGAAAGTGCTCTCTGTGTGTCTGAAGTTACCCTAGCGTCCTGCAGCTTTATGAGTTGTCATGCCATTAACATCAGAGGCAGATGAATGAGAAACTACATTGGTGGCAAAGTGTGAGTGGTAGATTTTAATGTAACTATCTCGGGTTCCTTACTCTCCTTATTTTGTCAGGTAACTCCAAGAAGTGATCAGATCTTTAGTGTTCCTGCCTGCTACTGGTGCAAAAATGTGGAAGGTCAGCATGTAGACTAAGACAAACTCATAAGTCATTTGGGACCCTGCTGCTTAAAAATTAATTCCGTGGAACATGTAGTCATGCATAGTGGTCACATGTAAAAGAAGGAATGCCAGTGCTCAATTTCCAAGCCATTGACGACCAAAGAGGAGCCATCGGCACTGACTTGAAGGCCTCTGAAGACAGCGATGCAGCAGCAGGGAGAGAGTCTCGGTTAATCAGCTCTACAGTTAGCGTGATCATTTTGCTTTGAAGAAAAATAGAGAAAGAAGCATTTGGGAGCCAGAAGCCCTTTTATTAGATCCTAGTTAGCCGGTTACTTTTGCACCCAACTTGACTCCTTGAAAAGCAAAGTTTTGTTTGTATTCTGGTTTTCTTTCATCTCGGACTCCCAATCCTGTTTGAACGGTAGTGACTTACGTGACCCTATTAAAACCGGAATTTTAACTTGATTTTATTCAGTTATGAATGTGATAACAATACTAGGTAAGTGTATGCCTTCCTTGACACCAGTTTATTACACAGGATGTATGTGAACAGCAAGTTCGTAAGAAGTTAACTTCTGTTGGTTCCTGTGCTGTTTGCAACATATAAACAGACATGGAAGCTCGAATGCATGTATTGAAACTGAAGTGCTTTGACAACTTACCAACAAACACCCCGTTTGCAGAGAAGTGTCATATACTAGTGTCTTTTTTCGAAACTAAGCATTTAATTGTACTTGTCAGTTTCTTGAGGATTATATACGCACTTTACGTGTAAGTGGCCTAGTCAGCACGTAACCGCAGGTCAAATGCCAGTTACACTTTCTTATTCCTTTTACACAAATGCACCTTGAAGCTGGAAATAGTTGGCAAATTATGTTTTTAAAAAGAGTATTTTCACCGTGTCCAGCACGTTTACTTTCGCTTTCATCGAGGGAACACACGTCGGCCGACTGGCTTCCCAGAGGCTTTCACCAGCCGGCGCCATTTCATCCCCCTGATTCCAGCGAGGAACAAGTTTATTTCTATTTTGTATATTTCGTCCGTGCTTTGAAGTTTGTTTAGTGATTAGATTGGTTTCCCGGGGTAAAGTCGTCAGAATCATGCCCAACCTTCCCTCTTTGCCCGGGCTTAGGACCGGCAGTAACTAGTGAACTAGTTAACCAGGCGAGGTTAAAGCAGCATGGGCAACGATAAAATTTATGAGCTGCCCTGTTCCCAGAGTTATTCGTCAAGCTGCATGGGAGACAAATAATGTCCACAAAGTTATTAGCAAGTCACGCCGGTAAGAGGAGACAACTTTATTGAAGAGGGTCCGGGGGCGAGTGACAAATGATGTCAAATGGGGAAAGTGCCTGGGTGAAAGTGTGTCGAGCTCTGAAATCTGACTACGAATTTATATACGCGTCCAGATATACTCGCTTATTTATCATTCCCGACACTGCCAATCCATCTGCTTCAGACAGTGTAAATACCAGGAGTTAACACGAAGTATATATAGGGA